ACACTGATACATAAAAATGGAGAACATGGGGACCACACACAACTTGAATGAGACTCGCCCACTCACACACACCCATAAAATGAAATTGACATAAAAAAAAAAGGCTGTGTGTGTGTGTGTGTGTGTGTGTGTGTGTGTGTGTGTGTGTGTGTGTGTGTGTGTGTGTGTGTGTGTGTGTGTGTGTGTGTGTGTGTGTGTGGAATAAATGTGCAGCTTTAGCTGCAGGTCAGGCTGCTTGACATGCTTACAGCCAAGACTTGCATTACCAGCTCCCACCTGGAATAACCTCAAGGTACTGCCCTAGGATCTTAATCTCTCAAACTGAGAGAATGGAAAGTGGTAAACCAGATGCTATTCACTGAGGACAAGCAACTTAAGGCCATCATCCTTCATTCCCGCTTCTTTTGCCACATAACTACTCTCCCTAGTTTCTACAACCACAATTTCTTCTACTACTACTTCCACTACCAGTACTTCCTCTTGTACACCTCTTGTTCCCATCCTTGTCCTGCTCATGTATATATACTGGCTTCCTCATTCTTTTCTGTCAGTGTAACTTTATAACTGGTCCAAGTTGGACCGAAACGTTGTCATAAGCTCCTCTCTCTTATGTGCTGGCTATTTGTGTATATATCTATACACCATAAGGAAGTAAGCATGCAAGTTTATATCAACATGATACATTGTTTATACAGTAATGGGAGACACTTAAGAGCATGATGAAAGACCATAGTTATACAAAGCATTCCAGGCAAACTTAAGCCTACAAGAGCATATCAATGTACATGATAAGAATTAATTTTCCCCATAAGAAATAATGGAAATAGAATTAATCCGTTCCAGACACCCAAAACTATTAAACAAAATAATTTTTTTTACCTGAAATATACATTTCCCTACACAAAAACGAATGGGACATGCAAAATAAACAATAATTAAATGCCACTTATCTTTATTGTGGAGTTGTTGATGAGTGATGAGACGGCAGGAGGGCAGATGATGCAGGTGTTCTATTGTTTGGAAGGGAAATCCCCTTCCATAAAGACTTCAGGTACTAAGTCCTTTGGTGGGGTTACCTCCCTTCTTGGTTTTTTAACCATTTCAGGGTTTCGGCCGTACTAGTACGGCTTACGTGCCAGGGTTTTTGACGTACTAGTACGCATAAATTCTAGCGCCTTCAAATCTCGTGGGAAAAGGCTGGTAGGCCTAGATGTGAGAGAATGGGTGTGTGTGGTCGGTGTGCATGGTAGAAAAAAAATCTGGGACCCAGTGGCACATTGTGGAAATGCCATTTTAGTAGACTTTGTTCACCATGCCTCATGGTAAGAAGCTCCTCACTCCTCGGCGAATTGGGACACTTTTGTTCCCCAGTGACAGTTCTAATACAGATGGAAGTGCCAGTGAAGATGAGTTTCAAGGTTTTGGTGAGGTTGTGACCGAAACTAATGACCATAATATCGGTAATATTGAGGAAAACCCAGACAACCCTCAGCCTTCCACCTCTGCTGCTGGGCCGTCTTGTTCACGTTCAGTTGTACCAGAATCAAAGACGAAACTCCTATTTTCCCAAATCCTGGACTCGTAAGAAAAAATAATTTTTTTTTTTTTTTTTTTTAAATTTTGGCTACAAGTCTTTGAGAGGGCCTGGGGACCCCGAAAGGGTTAATGCCACTAAAACCAGCTTGAGAGTCACTGGACCCCTGTCGCACCAAAAATCTGTCCAGAGAGCTCTGTTTCTCACGTGCCCTTAGGATTTCCCTAAAATGGGACACAAGAGTGTCATTGTACATGTTGCCAATACGGCTTGCAACAGCTGTGACAGGATAAAATTCATCAATAAATGCTTGCACCTTTGTAAACATTGTACACATTTCCCTAATCCTTGATGAAGTCATCTTCCTCCGTCTCTCTTCCTCCTGCTCTGAAGAACATTCCTGAGATGTGATCTGTTGCTGTTGCACCTGAGGCTCTTGCAGGTCCAAGATAGTACTGATGATTGAATGGGATTTGTTGTATAGCCTTTCCAACTCGGACATACTCACTCCACTTTCATATTTTTCAACGATCTCTTTCTTCATTTCCATCGTAATTCTCACCCTTTTTTACCACAACCTTGACACTAGAAGCTTTCTTGGGGCCCATGGTTGCTTATTTAGCAGTTACAAGCACTAAAAACACTGGAATAATACAAAATATATCACAGGTACACGTGGAATCGACCACAATGGCTTGTAAACAATGGCACACTGAGTCTTGAAGTGGCTGGGCCCACTCGGGCCAAACGCTGTTAGATAAGGTTTTTCGCCATTGGAAGAGCCATTTTTTTTACGCCAAAGAGCGCCGTTAGACGAATTTGTCGTTATTTGATGCCGCCATTAGGCGGGGTCCACTGTAATTAGTAGGGTTATAGTCTAGTAAGTTTATAGGTACTATCATTTGCATTAAATGACATTGCAGGTACTATTGCGTACATAAGATAACATTATAGGTACCATTTTGTACACTGGATGACATTATACGTCTATTTTGTACATTAGTTGACATTATGGGTCTATTTTTTAAATTAGATGACATTATAGGTCTATTTTGTACATTAGATGACATTAAAAGTCTATTTTGTACATTAGATGACATTCGATCCAGGAACTCGAGCTCAATTCAATACAAGAACTCAAAAAATTAATCTGGACCCCACTGTGACTACAAATGCAGGTTTTTACAAATGACTCCCATGACAGTATGTCTGTGCCATGGGTTCAAACCCCACCCAGTTCATGATTTGTTTGCAATCATGTTATTACGATTTCACAAGTAATAACCGACAATCGTGTATTGCAGGGACCTTGATTGTTGGTTCTGAATCGACTCACCCAGCGGATTTTGCTCTGCACTTCCAAGGTACATTATATGGAGGTCCATTATATGAGGGGTTTACCGCAGGGGGTTGGTAGACCACAATCATCCAGGGAGGTACTAACCATGCGATCAAAAAAGATGATAGGAAAAATCTGCGAAATTTTCTGCACTATGACAGAATTGCTGATACAGTGAACCCTCGACCAACGATATTAATCCGTTCCTGAGAGCTCATCGTTAGTCAATATTATCGTTAGTCGAGTTAATTTTCCCCATAAGAAATGATGGAAATCAAATTAATCCGTTCCTGACACCCCAAAGTATTGAAAAAAAAAAAATTTTACCACATGAAATATTAATTTTAATACACACAAACTGAAGAAGACATGTACAATTACATGACACTTACCTTTATTGAAGATCTGGTGATGATTGATTGGATGGGAGGAGGGGAGGTAATTTTTCACAGTGGGGGCAAAGGCATGGTGTAACCAGTCATAGAAAAAGTCCCTAGTGACCCATGCCTTACTGTTTGCCCTCCACAGCACACACAAATTAGCCTTGAGGACATTGTTTTTTCTGAATACTCTGGGAGTTTCAGAGTGATACACCAATAAAGGCTTCACTTTGCAATCACCACTAGCATTAGCACACATCAACAGAGTAAGCCTGTCTTTCATAGGCTTATGTCCTGGGAGTGCCTTTTCCTCCTGAGTAATGTAGGTCCTGTTTGGCATTTCCTTCCAAAACAGGCCTGTTTCGTCACAACTGAACACTTGTTGGGGTTGGAATTTTTCAGCTTCACCATGCCTTATCACACTGTGTATGCCACTACAATTCTTAAATCTCTCAAACCAACCTTTGGTGGCCTTAAATTCACCAATATGAGCACTAGTTCCAGGCATTTTTTCCTGTTCACCTGGGTGTTAGTCAACTGTTGTGGGTCACATCCTGGGGGGCAAGATTAAGGACCCCAATGGAAATAAGTTAGACAGTCCTCGATGATGCACTGACTTTCTTGGGTTATCCTGGGTGGCTAACCCTCTGGGGCTAATCGTTTCTCGGTAATTATTTCACGTTAAGCCACACCAACAACACACTCTCCACATCTTCGAGTAATACAGCTGATGGTGGTGCAGCAACAGCAACAGCTGACTGTGGTGCAGCAACAGCTGACTGATCCAGCAACAGCTGACTGGTCCAGCAACAGCTGACCGTGGTGCAGCAACATCTGACTGGTCCAGCAACAGCTGACCGTGGTGCAGCAACAGCTGACTGATCCAGCAACAACTGACTGGTGCAGCAACAGCTGACCATGGTGCAGCAACAGCTGACTGGTCCAGCAACAGCTGACGGTGGTGCAGCAACAGCTGACTGTGGTACGATAGTATTTCTCACCCTTTTTACCACAGGGTTGGCACTAGTAGCTTTCTTGGGGCCCATGGTAACTTATTTTGCAGGTACAATCACTTAAAACACTGTGATAATATGAAATGTTCCGACTGTATGTTTGGATCGCTAGTCGGATTTAACGTTAGACGATGCCATCGTTGGTCGAGGGTCCACTGTATTTTGTTTCTGTATTGTGAACACGTACTGGATTTTCTGGCATATGAGACGTGCTTTTTTTCCCACAAAAAGTCTTGGAAAACCAGCCTGTGCTTTATATGCTCAAGGTCAGGGTCAAGAGTAGGCTTTGAGTTACACTTTAGCGTAAAGAGGGTCATTAACCCTTGAACGTGATTACAGGCGGGCCTTACTTATACAGCAGGATAGGTTCTGGGCTACTGCTGTAAAGTCAGTCATACCCTTTTTTCACTTTCAAATATACATATAAAAGTCTGAGAACATGTTTATACTATCATATATTAAGTGAACAATAGACTAGGCCTAAAAAACACACATTACATAAAATATTTTCATCCTTAGCTTATAGAGTGGCAAATATATTTATTGTAGGAAGTCTGAATAAATGAAGAATTGGTACAATTAAAAACTGTTGTATTAGTAAAACACCATAAAGAGAAGTGCTGTAAAGCAGAGCCCACCTGTACTGATTTACAGTTATGATACTTCTGCTTTGCACCTTATTTGCTGGAAAATACGGCAATACTGCATTAAAAATATTCTTAAAGTCTGCTAACCTTTTGAGCTTCTTTAACATTAAGACTTGTAGCCCCAAGAATATGCACTGTCAGTCTGCCAGACATACTAGGGTGCCACAGAGACATGGGTGATGACCCTGCAGATGAGGAAGACTCAGTGGTGGCAGTAGTGCGTACATATGATGGCTCCGCAAAATCAAACGTGTTGAGTGCAGCATACAGCTCACCACGGGAAACCATGGAGACTTGCGGAGTTTTGCCACGGGATAACCACATTTGGATTGTCTGTAAAGAAATATTCTTAAAATACTGAACCTTCTATAATGTAGATATAATATTCTCTTCAGAAACTCACCATCTGAAGGGATACTCTCATGCTTAACCTTCTCTATTATTATTATTATGAGGGAGCGCTAAACCCATAGGGATTATACAGCGCCTGTGGGGGAGGATGGAAAGCATTCGGGCTCAATTCAGGGACCTGGAGTACAGATCCAATTGCCTAGATCAAGAGCCCCTCCCCAGTATCAGGGAACCTCCCTTTGAGGAGTGAACCTTCTCGAGATTTTTCCAATGCAGAAAAATTATCTTTGTTTGGGCATTCACAAAATTTAACTAGTCTTTAACATGACGGTCAGGTCTCGGTTAGTCAAAGTTTGAACAGTGCGAATTCTGATTTAGTACAAAATTAATTAATGCCAGTTTTTTAACCAAACTCTTCAAATCATGTAAAAAAATAACAATTAGAATAGTGCGAATTTGAATAATGAGACCATTTCACGGAGTTCGTTATTTGCACTAATCAAGACCTAGTTGTTATTTATTAACTGTTATTTGTAAGTTGTTATTTATAAAAAAAAAACCTAATACATCGGGTACACTCACGAGTCTGCTGTACTGCAAAGCAGCCAGTACACAGGAAAGGGCAACATAATTGATGTGACAAGACAATTAACCCTTAAATGGTCCAAACGTATACGTTTTTTCAACATCTGAAAGTATGTAAAAAAATGTAGATCTTCTTTTTCGTTTTACATTTGAAAACGTGTAAGAAAAACTTTTATCTACATTTTTTTGTTATAACTGAAAATATGTAAAAAAAAGTAGATCTACTTTTGGAGCACTGTGAATTTGAACGTTGATCTGTTTGGACCGTTTAAGGGTTAATGGAAATTGGAATATGAAAAGATGGCAATATCGAGGGATCATGGTCAGTACGCTGAGGTCAGTGGTCATGTGAGATCATACTTGTCCTAACCTGTCTGGGAGTTAGCGTGTTACTGAGCACCATGGCTTCTTGTAGTATTTTAGAATCTCAGATTAAAGTGTTGAAGAAGGAGGTTCTACCTCTTCAGGAGGAAAATAAGAGGCTGAAGCTTTGCTTAGATGGGCTTGGGAGTGAGTGTGAGATGGATGGAGCTGGTAAGGAGGAAATGGTCACCAGCACTGAGAGTGGCAGCCGCTTTAAGTGGCAAGTAGTTCACAATTCAGGAAGAAGGAAGATAAGGAAGGTTACTTCAGTGGTTAGTGAGGTTAAAGGTACCACTGACTCCCTTGCTAATTAAGGTAAGAATATTCTGATTGTGGGAGACTCTCAGGTAAGACATATGGACTGTGCTTTTTGTAACAGAGATAGGAAAGTCAGACAGAGAGTGTGCCTCCCAGGAGTTGGTGTTGGTGACATAGTCAGCAGGTTGGATAATATTATGTCAGGTAATGGTAACAAGCCCATTATCTGCCTTAGTGCTGGTGGTAATGACACTGGGGAGAGCAGGAGACAGGAGCTACTGGATAAGTACAGGTTAGCCATAGAAGTAGTCAGGTTTAAGGGAAGGATCCCAATCATATGTAGCATCTTGCCTAGAAAGGGAGTGGGCAATGAATGGATGTCTAGGGCAATAGGTATAAATTGCTGGCTAGACAGGTACTGCAAGGAACTTGCAATCCCATTCACTGATAACTGGGACAAATTCTATAACAAATGTGATACGTATGCAAGGGATGGGGTTCATCTCTCTGGGGCTGGAGTGGTTGCATTAGCCAATTCGATTGAGGGGGTAAATGATGACTTTCTAGGACTTTAAACTGATATATTATAGGCTGCAGTATCAGGGCTGAAAACAGCAGATATTACCAGGATATGTTTAAAAGACAATATTAAAATAAAGTTGCTAGTAAAGGCAGAGCACTTGATCAACAAACAAAGAGATATAGTAGAGGGCAACGAGTGACTAGCTCCCTTAAGGTTTACTAGACAAATAGTAGGAGTCTAAGAAATAACACAGATGAGGTAAGATTACTTGCAAGTGCAGATAATATAGATATTATTGCTATAACAGAGACCTGGTTCAACTTGAACAATAAGAGAAATGCCTTCTGAATGCAACATACAGGGCTATAAACTATTCCACACTGATAGGGTCAACAGGAAGGGTGGTGGAGTGGCAATGTATGTCAGAGATAATTTAAATTGTGTTAGATACGGTGTAAGATTAGAAACATCGGACACAGAATCTGTTTGGCTACAGCTTCTTGAGGGTCGTGAAAAATTAATTTTGGGTGTGATTTATAGGCCCCGAAACCTTGATAGGGAGTGCAGTGAGCTGTTATGGGACAAAATTCACAAGGCGTCTAGATATGAAAATGTGTTAATGGGAGATTTTAACTTTAGACAAATTGATTGGAACAATGTGACAGGAAATTTTGATTCTAGTGACTTTCTTGATACAGTTCAGGATTGCTTTTTAAAACAGTTTGTGACAGAACCAACTAGAGGAAACAATCTGCTTGACTTGGTTCTTGCCAACAAAGAATCACTAATTAATAATCTTGAGGTTAATGATGAACTTGGGGAAAGCGATCACAAATCACTTAGTTTCAATATATCATGGAATTACCCAGATAACTGCAATCAAATCTCTGTCCCAGACTTTTGCTTGGCCGATTTCAAGGGACTGAGACATTACCTGGGTGGGCTAAATTGGGATGACCTGACTATGGGTCAGGTAGGTGGTGTTGGTTGCCAATATGACGTTTTTCAGAGCATAGTTCTAGCTGCCCAGACAACTTTTGCTCCGAGTAGTGAAATTAGATCTAACAAAAATGATCCCAAATGGATGAACAATAGATTTAAAACATCTCACTGGTCAAAAGAGAGGCATATACAGTAGGGCCCCGCTTTATGGCGTTTCGCTTTACGGCATTCCGCTAATACGGACATTTCAAATTATGACCAAAACTTGCTAAAAGGCTCCCCCGCCTGACTCTCTAATATGGTCACTGCCACCCCACCTGGTTTGTTTACATTCTCCGTCAGCTCTGTATGCACCACGTCTCTCTATTATGTCCAAAAACTCCAAAATTTCAAGTGTTTTTAAAGGTTATTTCATATTTTATATATACTCTGATAATTAAACATATGTATATCTGTACCTAAATAAACTTGTACACTGTGCTGGCATGCAGGTACACATTAACCCCTTGACTGTCGCAACCCCAAATCCTGATGTCTCTCCTGGTGTTGCAAAATTTCAAAAAAAAAAATTATTATTTTTTCTTATGAAATGATAGAGAATCTTTTCCCGATTGTAATGACATCAAAAGAACAAAATTTGATGGAAAGCTGATAGAATTACGCTCTCACAAAGTTAGCAACCTCGGTGATACATACGAATCGGCGATTTTGCCCACTTTGAGCCCTATTTTCGGCTAATTCCATTGTTCCAGTCGACCAAACTTATAGCTATTTCTTTAGAACTCCACTTTTTCTATCGATTGAGTGCAAGAAACTGCCCATTTACCGATTTTAACTACCCAATAACATGGTCAGAAATTTGCAATTTGGCCAATTTCACGAAAATTAAAAAATATGACAATTTCAAAATAGGGTCCAGAATGAACAATGCAGACATTCCTGGCTCTAAAATAACATTTTCTTTGTTCATCAGCCACATCTCCAGGCCCCTCTGATATTACTCTTGCTTTCTATTTTGAATTTTTATTCAAACAAAAAATAGATTTACTGTTATGCAGACTTCTGCAATATTGTAATTGTATAAATAATGTCAACCCATTCATGACTGCATATCAGAATGGCTACTTGGACATTTATTGGAAAATGACATCATTTGTTTACTTTTGAACATTGACAAAAATCAAACATTTCCCCTACTTTGAGCTCCATTTCAAGGTTCTTTTCATAGTAAAACCAATCAAAGTCACCTCTATTTCTATAATATGTTTCCCATTCTATCAAATGAGACCAAGAAAATGAGAATACAACCATAAATACTATATGAAAATAGACCACAAAGTCGGCATTTTAATTAAAAAAATGGTCGGAGTTTTTTTTCTCATTATGCACTGCGTGCTGCAGGATATATTTTATATGGTGCACACTGACGACACAGACCCATTCTCTCACATGTGGGCCTACCAGCTTTCTCCTGATTGATTTGAAGCCACTAGAATTTACGAGTATACAGTGGTCCCTCGTTTATCGTCCTTAATCTGTTCCTGGAAGTGGGACTATTATCGAAATAGGCGACTTTTTAATCAATTTTCCTCATAAGAAATAATGTAAATACAACTAATCCGTTCCTGACACCCAGAAGTATTAAAACAAAAAAATTTTTTACGTGAAATATAGACGTAGTACATAAACAATACAATGGGACATGATGAATGAAACATTAACAGCATAACACTTACCTTTATTGGTGATTCTTCTTAGTGTATGGAAGACTGGAGGAAGAGAGAGATTGAATTACTGCTTGGAAGGGAAATCCCCTTCCATCAACACCTCAGGTACCAAGTGCTTTTCTGGGGTTACTTCTCTTCTCTGTTTCTTAATGCCACTAGGACCAGCTTGAGAGTCACTGGAGTCCTGTCTCGCAAAAAAACTGTCCAGAGATCTCTGTTGTCTGGCATCTCTTTAAAACTTCCCTAAAATGGGCCAAGGCTGTCACTGTACAAGTTGCCAATATGGCTTGCAACATCTTTCTCAGGGTGATGTTTCTCCATAAATCTTTCCATCCTACCCCACATTTCAAAAATCTCCTTAATTTCTGAAGAAGGCACCTTCTTCCATCTCTCTTCCTCCTCCTCTGCAGCAAGATTCTGAGCTGCGATCTGTTGCTGTTCCTGCTGAAGCTCTTGCAGCTCCTCAGTGGTTAGCTCTTCGTTCTGGTCCTCCACCAACTCTTCCACATCCTCCAAACTCACATCCAACCCCATGGAACTCCCCAATGCCACAACAGAGTTCACAACTGATATGGGCTCATCAG